AAATTTTAATTTATTTCCTAGGTTTCAATATGCGTAGAATTTAATGGCGCAGTCCAATTTTTTTAAAACTCAACGGTTCACTTTAAATACTCAAATTACACCCATTTTTTCACTTAATTTTTTACAGCTTAATTTTCATCATTTTTTGACATTTTAAATTTATTTCCTACACTTTAAGACATGTAGAAAATTATGGTATCAACCATTTTTCCCCAAGTTGAAAACTATACCTTGAATGCTGCATTTGACACGTTTTTTTAATTAATTCCTCACTTTTTCACCTAATTGTTTGCATACATGTGTGTACCTTATTTTCTATGCTTTTTTGAAATTTTAAAGTTGTTTCCTACATTTAAAAGTGTGTAAAATTTAATGGTAACATTCAATTCCCATAAAACTCAACGGTTCATTCTGGATACTGTAATTAGTCATATTTTTCAATTGATTTTTAAGAGCTTAATTTTCATTATTTTTTGACATTTTAAATGTGTTTCCTACACTTTCAGACATGTATAGAATTATCGTATCAATCAATTTTTATCAAAATAAAAACTGTACCTTGAATAATGCCTATGACATGTTTCTTTAATTAATTCTCACACGCTTAATTATCCTTATTTTATGTACTTTCAAGTTCATTTCCTACACTTTGAAAGGTTTTCAAATTGCTGGCTGTATCCATTTTGCATTCAAATAAAATTTGTATGCAGTACAAATTATGCAAGAAACGGTGTACGCTCATCTATTAAGATTGAAGCTTGTATTTTGAGTGAAATTGGACTTCACCATTCAATTCTAAACATTTGTAAATGTAGGAAATAAATTTAAAATAAAAAAAATGCTTAAAATCAGGCCGGTAAAAATCAATCAAAAAAACATTAAAAAAAGCCTGTCCACTGCAGTATTCAGTAAAAAGCGCTGATTTTTATGTAAAATGGTTGTTACCATCATTTTTATCATGTATTAAAGTGTGGGAAATAAACTTAAAATGTCAAAAAATAGTGAGAAATAACATGTAAAGAATTAATTGAAAAAAGTGTCTAGTTTCAGTATTAAAAATGAACTGTTGAGTTTTAAGAAAATTGGATGTTACCATTAAATTCTACACACTTTAAAATGTAGGAAACAAATTTAAAACTTCAAAAAAGCATAAAAAATAAGGTACACACATGTATGCAAACAATTAAGTGAAAAAGTGATGAATTAATTAAAAAAACGTGTCAAATGCGGCATTCAAGGTATAGTTTTCATTTTGGGGAAAAATGGTTGTTACCATCATTTTCTACATGTCTTAAAGTGTGGGAGATAAATTTAAAATGTCAAAAAGGAATGAGAATTAAGCTCTAAAAATTTAAGTAGAAAAGTGGGTGTAATTTGAGTATTAGAAGTGAACCGTTAAGTTTTGAGAAATTTGAATTGCGCCATTAAAGTCTACGCACATTAAAACCTAGGAAGTAAATTTAGAATTTCACAAAAGCATAAAAGATAAGGTACATACATGTATGCCATCAATTAATTGAGAAATGAGTGGAAGAGAGTAGTAATAGTCAAGATTCATTTTAATGACAAATGGCTTCTTACCATTAAACTTCTACGCCTATGATAGTGTAGGAAACAACTCTAAAAATTCAAAAAAAGTCAAAAAATAACCCATAAAAAATTAATTACGAAACCGCGTCTAAAAGCGGAACCAGCGTGTGCTGCGGCGCATCATAACCGCGTCAAAACGCGGGAAAACCGCGTTTTTTTATTAAGGCCCTTAATTTTTATGGAAAATGCTTTTTACCATTAAATTCTACGCACTTTAAAACATAGGAAATAAATTTAAAATTTCAAAAAATAATAAAAAATAAGCAGTACAAAATTAATTAAAAAAATGTGTCTGCTGTGCAGTGCGCGCAGCAAAAACCATGTTTTTTTGTTAAGGCCCCATTTTTTCTTTTATTTTTCCTTTTTTCCATTTTTTCTTTTGTTTCTCACAGCCTGTGGCCCTCCCAAGGCCTCCTGTATGGGCGGATATCCCTTGGGATACCCGGATATCCGCCAGGATTTCAGGGGGAAGGGGGCATCCGCATCCGCTGGCGGGTATCCGTTGGCACTGGCGGGTATCCGCCAGCGGATAACGGATATCCGCAACGGATTATCCGCGACCATCTCTAATATCGACAACAATGACTTGGAAGCCAGTAGATCGGTCCTTGGAAACGTTTGTCTTGAAGGTCAAAAGGCAGCCAAACGGAAGCGAGCCGAGGAAGGTGCTATCGATAAGATAGTTTTAATGCAGAAAGAACTTGTTCAGATTTCTCGTGACCGCTTGGCTTCAATGAGAAGTGCGACCAATGATGTGATAATGTCTAAGGACATAAGCTTAATGGATGAGGATAGTCGAGCTTACTACCAAAGGAAAAAAAGAGCGATCATAGCTTCTGAATTGGAGAAAGAAGAGAAGGAGAAAAAAGAAAAGGAGAAGAAAGAGAAAGAAGAAAATGAGAAAAAAGAGACGGAAGAAAACGAGAAAAAGGAGAAGGAAGAAAACGATTGAAGGGCGAAGGAGGCAAAAGAGAAGGACAAAAAGGAGGAAAAGGAGGACGACGACGAGGAAGCCGAGGACAAGGAGGATGAGGAAGAGGAGGATGCCGAGGAAGAGGAGGAAGAGGTGGTTGTGGAGGAGGAGGTTGAGTGAAATTAAGACAACGAGTTCCCTTCTTGTTTGTTTTCAACTTCACACTCATTCATTTGATTGTTCAATCTCATTGTTCACTCAATCAATCTATTGTTCACTCTCATTGCCTCAATCGTTTTTGTAATTCCTTTTTCTTATAAAAATCAGAATAACCCAACAAGCAATTGAGAAATCATAAATAAATGAAAGAGAAGAAAAGCAGAGAGGAAACAAAGCAAGGTGAAAGCAAGAGGAAAACAAGCGAGATGAAGAGGCAAAAATTGAGAGATGTAAAAAGCCAAGTCTGGATCAATTTTCTCCTTCCGATCCAAGCTTTTTCCACAAGTGATTTAATATAAGATCCTGCTGAAGTCGTGCATGTGTTGCATGATCCCTAATGGATTGATATCGGAGCAGAAACTGCTCAAAGCTCGAGTCGTTTGGTCCATTCGTTGTTATATTTGCTTGCGTGCGAGGTGTTTGCTCGTAGTTCCAGTCACCGTCGACATCGCTTCCAGATTCGTCTTCAATTGTCATGTTGTGTAGTATTATCACAGCAGACATGATATCTGAGAGATCTTCATGTTTCCAGAATCGGCCAGGGAAACGAATGATTGCGTAGTGAGATTGGAGAACACCGAAAGCTCGTTCAACGTCTTTCCGGTAGGCCTCTTGCAACTTTGCAAAGTGCTTCCTCTTCACTCCTTGTGGTTCGGAGATTGACTGGACCATTGTCGCGTATGGAGGATAGATTCCATCTGTGAGGTAGTAGCCTAGATGGTAATCATTTCCATTTACTTGATACAAAACTGAAAGTCCCTCTCCCTCTTGAAGCTGTTCAAAGATAGGTGATCAATCCAGTATATTTATATTGTTGAGAGTCCCTGGGAGGCCAAAGAATGCATGCCAAATCCAAAGGTCGTATGAGGCAACCGCCTCAAGAACAATTGTTGGCACCTTCTCCTTTCCAGTGTAGGTCCCTTGATCAGCAACTGGGCAATTCTTCCAGCACCAGTGCATGCAATCAAGGGATCCCATCATGCCGGGAAATGCTTGCTCCTCCGCAACTTCCAGAAGCCTGGCCGCATTGTTTTCGTTGGGCTTTCGCAAGTATTCTTCTCTGTAAATGTTCACAATTGTCTGACAGAACTTTTTCAAGCATTCAATTGCCGTTGTTTCACCTGTTTTTCACAAAAAAAGAATTATCAGACTTGCAATATACTAGATGAAAAAACAATCCATTCAAACCTACTCATACGAAGATACTCATCAAGAGAGTCAGCACTACATCCATACACAAGCATTTGCATGGCGGCTGTTGCCTTTTGGAGAGCTGAGAAGCACAATCTTCCACTGGCAGGGAAAAGTCAGTATACAGAGGCTTAGCACCGGGCCTGTGCATCTGCATAGTATGGGGTCTAGGTATGCACACAGGTGGTGTTTCTATGCAGAAAATATAAAAAAGTCTTGTTATTTCTTGATAAATTTAAGATATGGTAAAAACAACATCAAAAATGGATTCCTCAGGTAAACTAACCCCTGTCCACTGACTACACCTACCCCTCTATCACTCACAGTTTAGAAGTTACACATATTTCAACCTTTCTTGGATTCTTTATGTAGTTCTCTTCACAAAAGTATATAAAAAAGTAAAAAAAAAAAATACAACTACCCCAACTTGAATGAGGAAGAAAGACTAGTATAATGAAATAGAAATATATATAAGGAAGTATGAATGTTTTATACATTCAAAAACTATAACAAACAAGGGATTTATTTTTGGAAGCGAGAAACAAGTAATACAATACAAGGTAATACGAGACCCTTCAAAAAAGAACCTGACAAGTTCTTAAAGAGTAGGAATCTAATAGTAATAAAACAAACCAAAAACAAGGGTTACAATTTAGCCGATGCGGGCAATTTGAAAGGACTTGTGAACAGCCGATGAAGCGAAGAAGCTGGAGAATTGTTATGATAATGATGATGAGCAAGCTGCCGAACATCCATCTCATCAGAACGATCGTTCAATCTAATCTAAATCCGAATTCCAAAGCAAAAAACGTGGAGAGAGAGAGAGAGAGAGAAAGAGAGCGAGAAAGTGGAAAGAAGAAGGGAGAAAAAGAGGACGATCAACGATGAGGATTTTAGATATACAAAAATGAGAGAGAGAGATGTGGAGAGAGAGGACTGACTGGACTTCCTTAAAAGGATCCAATTTGATCTTCAAGTCTTTCAAGATTTTCGAGTTAGAATGAGCCGATTGAGGATAAGGAGGGGCCGGCGAATTTGCAGTAGTAGAAGAAGAAGGTTGAGCGGCAGTAGTAGCACTAGGGCTATTAGAGACGGTTAGGGATGGAGGAGGTGGCGGGACGGCGGAAGGATTCCAATGGAGGAAGGAGGCTTTCAGGAAGCCCAGTTCGGCGCCAAACATCAGCTTGATCCGATGGTCTTCGATCAACCCACGTAAGCTCCAGGTGAGCAGGAACGGATTGGGCTTGTCTTTCGGGTTCAGACTCTGATCGATGGTCATCAATTCAGGCGGCAAGACGGGCCTCTGATCATTCCCTCGCTCATCCTCATTCGAGAAGCGTGGACTGGTTGGTGAGCCGCCGGTCTTGATGTTCGTGGGTGGCTCGAGTGGAGAAGAACTCTCGAAAAAATATCGGACGGCTAGACTGTGATGATTCGGGAGAAGACAGGAAGAAAGAAGATGAGAAGAGAGGATGAGGAAAGAGAAAGAGAGAGAGAGAGAGAGATCTGAGAGAAGACGAACGAGAAGACGTTAGGATCTTCGTAAAGAGTCGAATGGCCGACGCCATTCAAGCTCCCGATGAGATAGTCGCTGAGGAGGAAGATGAGGCCATGGTCAGAGAAGCCGGCGTTTCTGAGCCGGAGACAGAAGACGACGAGGTTGGTAAGGAAGTCGGTGGAGTAGAAGACGGCCTTGTCGATGAAGAGTCCCCGGAGGATCGAGGGGTGGTCGATCGGATGGTTCAGCGAGGAGTATAGCGGCACGACTTGGTCGTTCATCGACCCGATCATCAGGTATTTCACTCCTGAATTCAAACAGTTTTTCAAACTTTTTGCCCCCCCCCCAAAGAAAAAAACATTTGTTCATCTCTTTTTTTTGTGCTGGAACTCAACAAAAAGGACAAAACATTGTTCACCTCTTTAATACCGCCTTGGATGCCGGACTATGAGGGTCTTGGAATTCGAAGAGCTCATGAGCAGCTGGACCTTCAAAGAACTAACACGCCAAGAAGGCATGAGTTTTTCTTTCCAAGAGATGAGTGATAAAACAGAAGGGGGGGAGAAGAACTGAACTTTGAGGACAGGTTGAAGCGCGTAATTATTATTCAAGCCGACATAAGGACCGTTCCAGATGCCGCACATAGCAAGAGACAGGAAGCGATCGCCGGGGAGAGCAAAGGTATTGATGAGTTTCTCGATCAATTTGCAGCTGACCAGACAGCCCTGAGAATGGCTGACGACGAAGATGGCGTCTGCGGATTGGATGGCCTGGATCCAATGGGGCCGTTTGTTGAGTTCCTTGAAGAGGAGCTGGACTCGGTCGTCTACTTTCCCGTCCCCCTCTAAAGGGATCATCGTTGTGAAGTCAGGGTTGATCAGACCGTCCGCATGATCAGGTAGATTTTCTTGTAGATATTTGCGGAGGGCGTCGTCCATCATGCTTGCGAACTTGGTCGATGTGCCGGTGGGTTTGCCGAGGACGGATTCGAGCCAGGGTCCGGGGAACCAGCCGTGGATGCCGATGACGGCAACCCTCCTGAGCTTGCGCAGTCTGGCGACCCGGTCGACCCGGAGCAGGTCGAGTGCCTTGGGCAGGCGGGTGCTGATGTGTTGGTTGTGGTGGAGGATGTCGGCGGCCTGGCGTCGTTTCCGGGAGCTCTCCCGTCGACTGGGCAGCTCATCTGCGGCGATTGTCTGTGGGAACTCCGGCGGGGCTGAGAAGATCAAGGCTTGGACTAGCTCGAAGGTCTGCTGTAGCTTGGATGGCTTGGGTAGGAAGGAGCGCGGTGGATGGTGAAAGGTATCTTCGAAGCTAGGCAGGACTAAGTTTGGGATCATCAATCCTACGGCCTTCTTTTTCTGGCCCTTGAGACTAGTCGTTCTGGTTCGTGTTGTTGGATTGGAATCTGTCAATGGTTCGATGGTTGCTTGTTGACTGAGTTGGACCTTTGACGATGATGAAGGTGTTGGTTGAGTGTGTTTTTGATGATCAGATTGAGAGGATGAGCTGAGTTGGATGGACATTGATTCGATGCTCTTATTGTCATCTTCTCTGAGTTTATGGGTCGGCAATGGTCTTCGTGAGGAGAAGAAGTAGTTGGTCCAACCCTTGCTGTTGACTGGGATGGATTGGCTTATTGGATTAGGTATTAATGAGTCGATGGTGTTGTTGACCGTCTCTGATTCGGTTGCTTGTTGGTGTTGATCGATCTGTGTTGCTGGTGGGTTGTTAATCCAGGAGTAAGCCCAGGTACCGAGTTGGGTGACATAATTATTATTATTGGTTGAGTCTTGTTGGTTTGAGTTTGAGTTGGTTTCTGAGTTGCTACTTCGATCGTCAGGTGCTTGGATCGGTAGCCAGCTCCACCAGGATGCGGATGATGCTGATGATGGTGAAGTTGGTTCTTGTTGTTGTTGTTCTTGTTGTTGTTCTTGTTGTTGTTCCTGTTGTTTTTGCTGTTCTTGTTGTTGTTGTTCTTGTTGTTTGGTTGTTGTTGTTAGCATTGGTTTTGATGGTTTTGATTTGAGGTAGTAGATCATATCTTGTTGTTTGGTGGTTGTGAGTAGTTTGATTTGGTTGTTTGTTTTTGTTTTTGTTTTTGTTGAGTTCTTCTTCTGTTGTTGTTCATCTGTGATAGTAGTAGTAGTAGTGGTGGTGGTGTTGTTGTTGGTGGTTGTTGTTGGTTTGGCTATTGTTGGTTTGGTGAGTAGTCTGTTGGTGAGAGTGTTCATGTTTATAATAATTTTTGTTTTTGGTTCTCCTCTTGACTCAAACAATCTGGAATCAACCAACCCCCCCCCCCCCTTAAATAATCAAACCAGGATCATCATCATCAACAGAATCAACGGAGCATCAACTAACTCTCCAATCCAATCCAAGCCAAGCCAAGCCCCAAGGCCTCAATCTCCTGCCTTCCCATCCAAACTTACTTGTCTGAACCCTTTTCTTAGGTTCTTTTTGGTTTTGCACAAAGAACATGATCTGCAAAACCTTATATATAAACCTCTAAAAATATAGAAATAAACAAACAAGCAAAAAAAAAAAAAAAAAAAAAAAAAAAAACATCAAAAGAGACAACCTCAATTGGCCACAAGCTTTTTCTTTCTGAATTGTAGCATGGTTTCAACACAACTTTAACCAAGCTTGTCCATAGTGTAATTAGTGGTGGAATATGATAGGGCCTCAAGGACACTCCCAAGCCAATTACATATTTGATTGACTTGATGGCTTATTCAAGTTGGTCATTTAGGGACCTGGTAGACACACCCATTGCAAACTGATCCATACACAGTCCCAGCAAGCACAAAATAAAAAGGGGGGAAAAAGAAAGAAAGCCAGAATCAACACCAATATATTCAAATCTACAACTTGAAATTTCTAATTGGCTTCTGGTGTGCTCCTGCAAAAGAAGAGCCCAAAGTCCAGGCTAGGCTTCCCATTATAAATGACTTTGTAACCCTGATCAGCTGTTTATAAGATCAAAACAAAACCAACATGTCAATAACCTATCCATTGATATTATAAGCAGATATTTGGATCACTTACCAACATCTACTAGGTTATACAGTCCTTGGAAAAGGATGGCCACAACCCTTGAAACCATTCTGCTTCCTTTCTCCATTGTACAGCCTGAGAAGTAGATTAGGAATGATATTTCAAAATTAATGATGGAGATGTCAATTATCAGTGGGTGGGTATCAATATTATCCTCAGCCCTTACCCAGTTTCTTGTTAATTCAAGCTGTAGCATTGGTGCATCTCACAGAGCCATTTTTGCTTGGTTATTGGTGCATACTACACCAATAGAAATGAACAAATCCCACCCAGAATTTGTACAACAGTCATATCAAACAGAGGCAATCAGTGCCAACCTGGACACCATACAACATATCCAACTGTTTCTGAGCTTACATATTTCTCCATTGTTTGCTAGTGGGGCAGCACTTGCATCCCTTATGTCCACTTTGCCACATCTAACACTAATTCTGGAAGGTGTACTCAGTGTTAACGGGGTTTGGTTATTGACTGGCTCTGGAAGAGTGCCCACTGAATGTAGTGTTGATGGGCTTAAACTGATAAGCGCTGTCATCACCAGCAATAAAGCTACCAATGCTTGCCAGATCAAATCACCCAGCAATTGCATTTTGGTGATGAGATGTATAAAGGGATCGGGAAGGAGAGAGATTGATGAATCAAGGATTGTAAGCTTCAGAATTTTAGTTTGTTGTTGATGGCAGAGAGAAGAGGTGCTCTGATGATGAGGCCCACGTCAGAAACAGCACCTTTATTTTGACTTTGCTGCATCAAAAACGCAGCTTGCATGTCTATATTACAGCCAATCCAATCCACTCCAAATAATCCTGTGGTACATTGCAATAAGTTGAAGAAATCTTGCGCTGTCAGCCCATTCTGCTTCAAGCTTCTATCAGTGGTGCCAGTTTGCAAAATCTGGTAGATTGGATCCTGTGAAAGCCAAGCAGTGCACACATGGGGAGAGCCTACATATTCACATAGTCTTCCAGCCTTCTCATACTTAACAGACATACCAAGACAATCAAGTCATTGTATCATTTTTTCCTTGGTTACATAACCACCATTGTGACTCTTCAAGGATACCGGGCTTGCATCCTGATCAATTTCAACATCAGTGCAACAAAATCTCTTTATAATCAGGTTCCTCCTTCTAAATATGTAGGTTTGAAACACCTAAGTGGAATTGTAGGAGGCTGAGGAGAATTGCTAACTGTCATCACAGCAGTCTAGATGGTCCTGCAGGAAAGAAGGGGAAATTTATTGGGATTCTTCCTTCTGGAAGGGCAGTCAATCTTATGACCAGGCAGGCTCTGTAGGGAAGAATGGAATGCTTGGAGGAATCGTTTACAATTCAAAGACACAAGGAGGTTTCATCCATCTAAACCTCAGTTGAAGATTGCCAGCAAGTGAATTGTGTTTCAATCTCCTAATTTTTTGATCCGCCTCTTGAAATGTGTATGTGCATGCTAGCCAGCTAGCTAAAAGTGTTACCCTCCAAAACAAAAACTTGAATAAATCAAGAGCACTTGAAGAAAGACTAGCATATTGATCCACTTTCAAGAAAGATGCAGAAGGATGTCTTGATTCTTCATCATGACTTGACCCTATGATATTGACAAACATTTTCAGAGCGTGAAAACAGTCAAATGATATCAAGCAGGTTAGAGGAACCCCCAGTTCAAATCTTCATCAGTGTAGGATATTTGCAAATACAAGCTTCCAGTAGGCCAATTCATGTCTGAAGTTCAAGGCAACTTTTAGCACTTTTATGGTTAAAATTTTATGAATTTTGTCAAATCTCATGAATCATCAGGTTTGGAGGAATTTGAGATTTTTGACAAACTTGGAAAATTTTAATGATAGATGCTATAAAAATTGCTCCAAAGTTCAGACATGAACCGTCCTAGTAAGTCATGGAGTAAGTTTTGAGGGGGTTTGAGCAGCGCCCTGCCACTACGCTACTCTAAAAGGCCTTTAGTGCTAGCGTAGTGGCGGTAGCAGCACTGTTTTTTTGTGTAGTGTTAGCCTGTGCTACCACCCACTATGCTACACAACACTTTAGCGGCACTAACAGCAAACCTTTTTTTGTGTAGTGTTAGTGCACCACTATTGTCACTACGCTACAGTGCTTTTAGGGGCAAAAAAGGCCAAAAAGCCACTCAAAAGTGCTGTAGCGCAGCATAGCAGGTGTTTTTTTGTGCCCCATGTGCGTAGTGTTAGTGCAGATGCGCAGAACCACACCAACACTACACTAAAAGCCAACAAGCTTTGGTGCCCTGAAGGTGTAGTGTTAGTGAAGAATCACACAATTGCACCAACACTACACTAAATGTTAGCTCGTTATAGCTACACTAACACTACATTTAGTGTAGCTGGCCCGCCGTTGGCTGAGTAGACAACAATTTCATTTCCTACAACCCCAAAGGCTGGTTCCCTATACATATTTACACACTTTTACATGATTTTCTTTTTTTGACTGACATGGTTTATTGAGTGGATCTTCAACTCAACCTTCTTGACTCCAATGTTCTCCTCACTTTGAACATAGAATCAACAACCAGAAGCTTGATGAATCCAATTTTCTCCCACATCTGAACGCTCAAATCACACAAGAATAATTATTCAGGAGGTTGAATAGCTCAACTGACCAAAAGATAATTTGCAGGGCTTTCTACAAACATGCAGGAAGGATTCCTAATTTCCTATGAGTGAGCTGGTGCCAAGTCTTGTTGGCAGGAAAAGAACCCCTTCCACCAACCTGGACCTTATGGCTACTTTTTTTTGCATTGAGACCTCTCTCTCACTCATCACAATTGGGCCTACATAGTACCAGCTTGTTGGGTGGGTTCCCTCTTGGAGAACTGGTACATGGTTTAGCTCACCAGATACCAAGAAGGTTTTGATTGAACATGGTTTTTTTTTCATCTGATATCTGGCCAATAACTGCCCCAGTCAACAAGCACTGCAGGCCCCTGCATATGTAACATGCGCTCCAACCTAACTATAGTTGGAACTTTGGCCCTGTCTGTTACTGTTGGCCCAATGGAGCAGCATAAAATGAGACATCCCCACAAAACTCACCACAATTTCACCAGATTTCACACACATTGGAGGACTTCCTGTCAACATCTGCGGGGCTCCCAGTTTCGATTTAGAGCCGAAAAAGCTAGATTTCCCTGCAAAAATCTAGACTTTTTGGGTCTAAATCGGAAACTGCGAGGCTCCCAGATCCGATGGGAAGTCCTCCATTATCCAGCTTGCACACAACACTGACAAACACAACCAATTCATGCTGTCATTGCTTTGAGTACTCCACCAAAACAAAAGGAAAGGAAAGGAAAAAACAAAACTCTCTTCTTCTGCACAGTTAAATATGATGTGTGTGCATTGAATTTGAAGCAAGGTCAACATGGAGTTTGGGAGCAGCACTTCCTGGAACCATTGACAAGACAACTGGTCAGGTGGCAGCAGTTGACTGGCACAAGTTTGTTTTTCAGAGGGTCAGATGTAAACTTTCTGAACCATTCATATCACACACAACCATCCTAGTCCCACAGGAAAACCATCACAATGGATGACTCAATCCTGTCAACATTTAGAACCCTCACAGATTTTTGATTTTGTACACCTGGCCATGCAAGGTCTTTATAATTTTTGGCACAAAAAAGTACTACCTATTTTTTTTGTTTCAGAACCCTGGTTGAAAAGATGCTCATGTGAGCTGTGCGGCCAGTTGTGGTTTTGATTACAGTGTTATAAATGTAGAACCGAGAGCGGTCTAAAAAAACATTCTAAATCACTATGTACAGGAAGTCCCCCATAAATCAACTCTTTTCTCTTTTTATCCATAACTAAATTCAAAGGAGGGAAGATAATGGCTGCATTGGTGTTTCACATTCACGTGAATGTGCATGAGTTAAACAACTCACTTGCAGTTGACAGCTCATCCCACCAAACCATCAGACATTAGTCACCATATATGAATGAATTCCATTCAGCTACATATAAGGATGGCTATTGGGCCAGGCACCTAATAGGCCACCCGAGCCCATCCGGGTTTGGGTCAGGCATGGGTCATGAGCTTTTCCACGGGGGTCCGAAGTTGTCAGGCTGGTTGATGGGCTAGGGTGCATCTGGCCTGAAAAGTCGGGTGCCCAATAGGCCTCCAGTTTTAGATCTACCTTAGTTATAAGAATGACGGAAGATCTTCCTTCTGTACAAAGTGCCTTCTGAATCTGAATCATAAACCACTTTTGTGATTTTCTTGACATTATAAAGGCATTGATAATTTGTTAATGTTTCCTTCTTTCTTTTTCCTCCTTATGCAATTCATTTGGTAATTTTCTGACCGTTCACATAACCATATAGATTAGCGCATAAGCTACAGCCTACACCACCTTTCAAAGACTCAAATTCCTTTTTAAGAACAACAAATCAATGGGTTCCGATTCACAAGCCACCAATGCCATGACCATTGGCAACAACCCACCCACAGAAGATGAAGAAAGGGCTGCTGCCTCCCCCCCTGAATCACCCGCATCATCCCAGGAAACTAAGAAGCGAAGGGTCACCAGCGAAGTATGGGAGCACTTTGAAAAGGTACAAGAAGGTGGGTTCTTATTTTCTGATATTTCAAGTGTTTATCTCGGCATGCTGAACTTGTTCATTCAAAAAATCCTATGAATCAGACAACCAACCGAAAGCCAAGTGCAAATTATGCCCAGCCAAGCTGTCAGCAAAGGGAACGTCAGGGACGAACCACCTGCGACGACACGCAAAATCTTGCCAATCAAAGCACGAGGCAACCATAGCCGCAAGTCAAGGCCTTCTTAGTTTCACGAATTCGCCTCAATCATCAAGTAATCAAATCTGGATCTACTCGCAGGGACAGACCCGAGAGAAGCTGGCCAGGATGATCATCGAACACGAATACCCATTTGCCATGGTCGAACACCGAGGGTTCATTGACTTCATGGCCACCGCTCAACCCAACTTCATCATGCCAGGACGAAAGGCGGTTCAAAGGGATTGTATCAATCTCTACCACCAAATCAAGGCTGACCAGATGGCCAAAATGAGCACGGCCTTGAAGATCTCCCTGACCACTGACCTCTGGACGGCATCCAATATGACTGGATATATGGTCGTCACCGGTCACTATATCAACTCCGACTGGGAGCTCATCAAGCTGATCTTGAGCTTCAGCCCCCTGCCAACTCCACACTCCGGCCAAGCAATTGCTGACCGTCTCAGCCAAGTCCTTCTTGACTGGAGATTGATCAACAAGGTCGCCTTTGTGACACTCGATAATGCAAGTTCAAATAATTTTGCTATGACTCGCTTACAACGGTTCATCAACAATCGCAATCAAGGATCCATCCCTGCTATGTCACCCCACTTCCATGTCCGGTGCTTGGCTCATGTCCTCAACTTGGTTGTCAAGGATGGGCTCAAGGAGGTGGGAACTGCAGTTCAAAAACTTCGAAGTAGTGTACACTACATACATGGCTCATCGTCCCGTCTCGCTTCCTTTGACAAGGCCCTGGTGGATGTTGAACTTAACGTGAAGATGAAGCATCCTTCCAAGGATGTCCCAACTCGATGGAATTCTACATTCCTGATGATTGAGTCTTCATTGGACTGCAAGTTGGCATTCCAGCAGCTGTCAATTGAGGACACTGGATTTGAGGATTGCCCGAACGAGCGAGAGTGGGAGGAACTCATCATCATGAAAAAATTCCTCGAACCGTTTCACAAAGGTATGTATACTACCGAGCAAATCCCCCCGTGTTAGTCAAATGCTGACAACTCGTTTCCTCATTTTTACAGCCACCACATCATTGAGTGGGACCAAGTACCCCACCATTGTTCATGCTTACCGTGCCATGAGGGGAATAGAGAAGCAGCTGGATGAATGCTTAACACTCCGGTCGAGCAATCATGACCAACCCCACCTCATTTCGATGATACCACCAATGAAGGCCAAATTCAACAAGTACTGGGGGCCGATGAGGGAGATGCTAGCTGTTGGACTCATCCTTGACCCCCGGTACAAAATGCGATATCTCCGATACAGCTTGGAGCAATCACTTGATGCAGCAGGAGTTGATTTGTTCATTGCCAAGGTTCGAACTACGCTCTTGGCCATGTGGCAATTGTTCATTCCAACCAAGACCCTGCCAGACTCAACTCCTCAAATAGACTCCAGCTCAAAGACCAACGATCCCGACTTATTAGCGTTTCATCAACACATGGCTGGTACCATGGGCGGATCTAAAATCAATGCGCCTGGGGCCGAGTTGGATTTATACCTTGGAGAGCGGAATGTGATTGTTACTGGAGAAAAAAACAAACAATTCAACATTGGTAGCTGGTGGAAAAACAATGCAACTCGATATCCTTCGCTTTCTGAGTTTGCACGGATAATGCTCATGGTGCCTATGACCTCCGTGGCATCGGAATCTGCATTTTCTACTGGTGGTCGAGTTCTTGATGACTATCGGATGCGCCTCAAAAAAGAAACAGTCGAGGCATTGCTATGTACTCAAGACTGGATAAAACCTAAGGCTTCAAGCATCCAAAATGATGCCGAAGAGGATGAGGAGTCCTTTTTTTGTACCTAGCACCTCGTGTTAGATCACGAGATGAAACTCCCCCAAGGGGAAAAATGTATTCCAATGATAGAAGACTATTTATACTATTTACAACTATGTATTTGGGTTGGTGAGAAACTAAACATAAATGCATATTTGAAATATGTGTATAGATATATGTAAGACAATAATAGTATGGGAATATGAGTGATGTGACATGTGAAACTATGGAAATATACTTAAGTCCATACTCTGCTATAACACCTCGAACAGTATTGAATCGAGTTCTCTTTTAACCTACTAGGATTATGCTTCACCTTATGCTTCACCTTTTCCCCTCAGTCTATATGTAAATACCGTTCCTTCCCCGCCCTCCCCTCCCCCACAAAAAGAAAGGACAGTCGGAGCAATCGTAATACGATTGCTTTTATCGTATGTTTGTAAAATCTTGGCCTAGCCACCTGGATACCGAGCAAGTGCCCACGGGCCACCCGCACTTCAGCAGGTTAGATTGGATCATGGGGCAGCCCATGGGCTGCCCAATTTCTAAATGGGCTCGGGTTAGACAAGATTGTTGAGCCTACTAGGCCAGCGTGACCTGCCTGCAAGGATCGCGGGTTTGTTTGGGCTAGTGCACGGGCTGCCCAAACCTGCCTGATAGCCATCCTTAGCTACATATATTCATGAATCTTTTCAATGTTTTTTTTTTCCAAAAAAAAATGTATGTATGTCATGATGTGTGTGTATATGTATTTTAATAATCTTCTGGAAGAAAAAAAAATGTGTTTTAAACAATACCAAAAAAAAGTCAAAAAGTCAAAAAAAAAAAAACAATGTACAAAAAAAAAAGAAAAGAAAAAGAAAAGAAAGAAAAGAAGACAAGCGGAGTTAATGACAAAGAAAGAAGTAATATATATATATGTGTGTGTGTAAAGTAGTGAGTAATGATTCAGCAAAATAAAACCATCTAAAGAAAAAGATCAAAAGAGAAAAAAAAACAGGAAAGAAGCAAAAAACAAGAGGACCGATGAGATCTTAAGATGTTTGATGACCGAAGAAGAAAACCAAAAAAAAAGGAAGTGAAGGGAAGGTTAAACAGCCAAGACCTGGAGCCCGGCGACCCATTCATCATTCAGGACTTCATCGATTTGAACACGACCTTCAGGCTCCGGTTTGAGCATTTTCTTGATGATTTTCCGCGAGTCTTTGATGAGGTTGATGAGAGGGGTGGGAGTAAGAGAGGAGTCATAGGATTCAAAGAAGCTCATAAAACTCGGATCGCTCTTCTTGGCCACCCTCCACGGTAGTTCTTGTATACAACAACAGTAATACACTATCCCACATGACCATACGTCCACTAATCGGGCATCATATTCCTTCCGCTCAAAGATCTCTTTGGCTGATCATCATGAGGAGTCCATATTGGTTTTCAATCAGTCTTCGATATATCTCGTGTGAGTTCTAGTATCGAGATTAAAGCTTACGAAGATAGGGTTCTGAACCACACAGCCCTTTACTCAGATGAGTGGTTTTTTCCCAGCACATCCGAAACACATCAGAGACCCCAAAGTCGGTGATTTTGATCCGACCCTTACCGTCGAGAAGCAAGTTCTCGGGCTTGATATCCCGATGGGCGACGCCCATCTGATGGAGATAGGCGATTCCGTTAAGGATCTGTTTGAAGTATGAGTTGATCTCCGGTTGCTTCATCGACCCTCGCTTGATCGCTGCATATAGATCCCCACCCGGACAGTACTCGATCACATTGCACCAATGCGGAGACTCGTCTTGGACCAGATCCACTGTGTCAACAATATTTTCATGATGTCTGAAGAAAGGCGGAGTGTTAGCACCAGACTATCAGTATCACAAATTGGAGAAAGTGAAGTGACTTACAGCGTTGAAAATATGCAAAATTCACTGGTAAGCTTCTTGACGTATTCCTTTTCACTCTCGTTCTTTCTCCGTTTCCGGAACTCTTTAACTGCGTAGAGTTTATCAGTCCCTCGATCCCACTTATGAGCTAGACGGACGACGGCGGTGGCGCCTTTGCCGATAGCAGCCTTCTCACAGACCCCATACTTTTTGAGTAAGGAGGTCGTAGCTTGGCTTCCGGCCCTACTACGGTTCTCGCCGTCCTCGCTCTTGCCGTCTTCGCTCCGCCCACCCTTGGAGGAGGAAGGCTTCCGACCCAGCTTGCCACCGACCATCTCCCTGAGCTTGGACGAACCTCCGAAGGTCTTCTCCTCTCCACTCCGCTCGCTCGTCGCTTTATTTTTCCCATTGAGATGTGATGAGTCCAGTGAGCCTTGTAAGGCCATCAATCGAGCCCCAGAGATGTTCTCGGGTGGATGAAGACCGGTACCGCCGATATCATTGACGTGGGCCGCTACGGCCTTCCCACTCCCCTTGCGACTCAATTTGCCGTTGAGACCTGGGGCAGATTCACTCTCGTTACCACTGCCTTCAGTACTGGTGCTACCACCATTTCCGACCGACTTGATCTCACTGCGACGTTCAAATAGCTTCCCGAAAACGCTCTTCCGCTCCGCCGCGACAGGCGCTTTAGGTACCTAGTTAAATAAAAATAAAGCCAAGACATTAACAACCCGGTGTTGGGCGATGGGTCAGGAACCACCGGACTGACCGTATGATGTGTAGGTTCAGCCTGCTTGTGAGAGACATCGACCTTGGTAGTCGGAGCTGACTTGATTGCACGAGAGCTGTGGACGGAAGAACGTTCGGGAAGGGGAGATGATGGATCGGGAGAGTTATTGCAGGCGGGTGATCGAAGAGGACTAGGAGGCATGGCGATAGTACTTGATGGTATCTGATAAATGAAAGCAGTCATTGATAAGCCAAGGTACATTTGTGTGTGTGTGTGTATTGTTGGAGGAAAGAGAGAGAGAGAGAGAAAGTACCTGAACGGGGTGGATGGTCGATTGAGACTGGTTGACCAGCTGAGTTGGGGAGGATTGACTGTTATCTGACATGTCCTTGGAGGAGGGAGTGGTGGATGAAGATGCAGGGTGTGAAGGGGTTTGGTCTTGGGTTGTGTTGTTGGTCGAATACTCTTCGACGACGCTCAAGGGTCGTTCTGGGGTGATCACGCTGCTGTTAGCAGCTGAGAGGAGGGGCTGAGTGGTTGGAGGGGTGGGAGGGGGAGGAGGCTCTTTGGCAGGTAGTTCTGCTAATTGGTTGTTGCTGTTGATTTTGTCCATGGCGACTCCCAGGCTGAGGTTCTGGAGCTGTTCTAATCTGAGTTGAATTTCGGTGGCCCTGTTGCCGACCCCAGGGCCGGCATGAGAGATCGAGTGATCATCACGTGCAGGTAATGGGATGCGAGTCGAGGGTGAGTGCTGGTTGTCGGCTGACTGGAGATCAGCACTTGGGGGGGTGGAGTTCATCGAGTCGGAGGCCGAGAGTGGGCTAGGATAGGTGACGGCAGAGGATGAGATGGGTTGGCGGAGTGGAGGTGGGTTGGATGCCATATCGATTAGACAGGGGATTCCGAATCGATTCGAGCAAGCTGGCAGACTGATCAGATGGGCTGGGCTGCTGGTTTTGGTTGAGTTGAGATAGGGAACCGAGGAAAGCGATCGAAGAGGGTGATGGGTCGAGAGTGCTGGTAGTGAAGGATGTTTGGTGGGCTGTCGATAGTACTGGCGAGTAGGTTTGATGGGATTAGGACTGAGTATGTAGAGAACCAACCAGCCAGCCCCAAAATTACCAACAACCAGAGCAGAAGAGAAAAGAAGTCAAGAGAGCAGAGTATAAGTAAAGAAGCAAAACAGTTGAATAAGTGGGTGGGAGGTGGTGGTGGTGATATGGAGTGCAATTATATTAAGGTTAAGAGCGAAATTAAAATTGGACAAAAACGGAAAAAAAAAAAAAAAACACAAAAACCAAAAAAAAAAAAAAATTAATCCAACAAGCCAAGATCCGAACGGAGTCCAGCCAACGAGCAACAGCCGAGATGAGGACGATACATAGAAACAGATTCAATTGAAATGATACCATTCCAAGAAGAAGAAGGATTGCGTGGATTGATATAAACAAGCAGAATGATGATGAAAGGAAAACGAATGTCAGCCCTGATCAAATCATATATCAAGATAAAGAGAGGGAGTTTTGTGGACCCAAACCAAATAATAAAGAGCGTCATGTTGGACTATGATAATGAGTACAAAGATGATGATCATGACGTCGTTCAAGAAGTGGATCATCGGCGGCTTTTCGGTGGTGTAATACATGCACATATTCCAAGCGAAGGGAGTGGAAACAACAACAACAAACTGAAACACGCTGATCAAGTGAAACACCGGCAGAATCAGATGATAGCCAGCCCAATGACATCATCACATCAAATTGACATCGTCCAAAGAGACGGAAAGCTATTACTTAGAATACAGCTGTTTCTTCTTGGTCATATGATCCGCTCTCTAATCTATGTAATCTTCTGGAGTAAGAGTATTGTAATTTCAAGAGAGCAAAGTGTCTGAAGAAGAGGGGCATGGGGGAAGAAGGAGCAGAAGGAGAACTTACGTGAGAGCTTGAGCGGGTGGACTATACCAAATGAAGGATTCCTTGGAGCTTAACTTTCGGGCAGTGGGAGGAGGAGGAGGAGAGATGGTCGGAAGAGGGGTACGATCGGGCTGAATGAGCTCGGCGGAACGATCACTGCTAGTCGGACTGAGACTGTCACTAGATCTAGCTGGTTTGAAGACTCGATCGGACTGAGAGCGAAGTGGGGTAGGTTGTTTGAGATGAGTCGTCAGCAGGGCCGGCTGAGTGCCGGAGGAGGAGGAGGAAGAATTATTAACTAAAGGCCGGCGTTGGTTTTGGATCCACTGTCGGAACGATTTGATCGACAGTTTATGAGACAGTTTGCGGCGACGTGGGATCATGGCCTCGACCGAGCCGGGCATCACCGCCGGCGTGAGGATCCGGACTGCCGATGGACCCATCGACGGACTCGGCGTCCGCGGCTCGATCGGGCTCTTCGTCTTCTCACTCCGCGAACTCGTCGTCAGATAGCCCTGCTCCTCCGCGATGATCCCTTCCGTCTCCAACCGCGCTAAGATCTCCCGGCGCTTCACTCGCTCCCGGTCTCCATATCCATCCCGGAGTCCTAAGCTCGACTTGGCTAATCGCATCCTGTCTACTAATAAAATAAAAAGACTTCTGTTAGAAAAAAAAAAAACCGAGTCCCTCAAGATTTTGGTAAGAGAGTATAACGTTTTAATCGTTCAATCCGGCCAGGAAAGAAGAAAAATCACTTTGAATTTGAATAAAGTCTTTTTTGGATAGGGGAGAGAGATAAGAACAGAACGGTATTTCCTTTCTTTTTTTGGGGGGGAGGTTTTAAAAGTCTGATCAAGATGAGAGGAGGGGAAGAAGGAATCAAGCGGTTTGATCCTAGCTTGATTTTGCGCGATGGCCAAGTATTTTATATAACAATCAAGATCACTGAAGGAGAAGGCCTTATCGGAGAGTGATCGAGTGTTTCTATGCAGTAGGTTGGCCGTGAGGGTCTTCCAGCAGCAGTAATCGAATCCAGTCGAACAGACGCACCACCATTCCACACAGCAGAAGCGAGGAAAGGTTACCACAAAAGCAACAAGAAGAAGAAGATAAAGATAAGTAACCCAAAGGAGACAAGGTTGCGGCACAGGTCAGTCGTTGGTATATTTATATGCATAGGCCAAAGAGGGGTGCTGGTGGGGGAGGAGGAGGAAAGATGATCGTGTATAGATCATCCACAAGTCCTTCCAACCTTTCTCTCACTTCCTTTTTTTTTCCTCAAGATGTATGCATCTTTTTTTTTCCCTTATTAACCAAGCCCCTGGGTCTTGGCAAAAAATG